TATAATGTACTATTGCTGGGATTTGTTGTATTCCTCTATAGCTGGTGATATTCTGCATTGCGCTGTATAATGTACTATTGCTGGGATTTGTAGTCCTCTATAGCCGGTGCCATTCTGCATTGATTGCTGTATAATTATAAACTTTCCATTTCACTATATTGCACACCACACTTTTTTTTTTTTACTTCTACCGCTCCAAGCTCGCTCCTGTGATGGACTACAATCTCAATACAAACTAGTAGTCCATCACTGAAGCCATTTTTCAAAATTTATTTTATTGTTTATCAGATTAACCGATTAATCGAACTTAATAATCGGCTAACTAATCGATTTTGAAAATAATCGTTAGCTGCAGCTCTACTTATGTCAGAGTCTCTATCCCGTTATCCAAAAAATGAGCCAAAACGATCAGAGAGTTCAAAAATAATGTATTTACATTGCAAGAAGCACCAAGCAATATATACACATGGCTCTGCCCAGACTGTCACCCAGAATAGCTTCCCTATGCTATACATACTATTGCTCCAGGTGCATAGTACTACTACTACTACTACTACCACCATGTTGAAAATACTATTGCTCCAGGTACATATAGTACTACTACTACTACCATGTTATACATACTATTTTTCCAGGTATATAGTACTACTGCTACTATGCTATACATACTATTGGTCCAGATACATAGTACTACCACTACTACTACTACTACCATGTTATACATACTATTGCTCCAGGTACATAGTACTACCACTACAACTACTACTACTATGTTATACATACTATTGGTCCAGATACATAGTACTACCACTACTACTACTACTACCATGCTATACATACTATTACTCCAGGTACATAGTACTACTACTACTACCATGCTATACATACTATTGCTCCAGGTACAGAGTACTACTACTACTACCATGCTATACATACTATTGCTCCAGGTACATATAGTACTACTACTACTACCATGTTATACATACTATTGCTCCAGGTACAGAGTACTACTACTACTACCATGTTATACATACTATTGCTCCAGGTACATAGTACTACTACTACCATGTTATACATACTATTGCTCCAGATACATAGTACTACTACTACCATGTTATAAATACTATTGCTCCAGGTACATAGTACTACTACTACCATGTTATACATACTATTGCTCCAGGTACATAGTACTACTACTACTACTACTACAATACTATACATACTATTGCTCCTGGTACATAGTACTACTACTACAACAATGCTATACAAACTATTGCACCAGTTACATATAGTACTACTACTACTATGCTATAGATACTATTGCTCCAGGTACATATAGTACTACAACTACTACCATGTTATACATACTATTGTCCCAGGTACATAGTACTACTACTACTACTACAATGTTATACATACTATTGCCCCAGGTACATAGTACTACTACTACTACTACAATGTTATACATACTATTGCCCCAGGTACATAGTACTACTACTACTACTACTATGCTATAGATACTATTGCTCCAGGTACATAGTAGTAGTCTCATAAGCACTGGGGCATGACTTGAGAAAGGGGACATTGTCCTGACCATTCTAGGTGTTGGCAGTCTGATGGTTTCTTCTTCATGTTATGGTATTGTATCCTCTGTGCCAATTGCCCCTCACTGCCTCTCAAACCATCACTATGCACCTTGAGCAATGGCTACATTCATTTTGAAATCTCGAATCGTTTGGTGCTCTGGTTCATTTTTGGATCAGTTGATATTGCAGTGACAGCCACAGAAGATGGAGCGGGGGAGGAGGCGGGTGTGACGTGGTCGGTGCGGGTGGGCTTTAAGCATACACCGTCACTTTGCCCTGAATAGACATGACAGGGTATCTTTAACCAGTAGAGGTGGTATTTAGGACCTGTCACCAGGCCACAACATCCCACACTCCAGGCACTGGGTGACTAGAACAGTCAGTGAGCCTCTGTGTAGTGTGGTCATAACTCTAATCTCTCAGAGCCGCCATCTTGGAGCATGCAGAGCGAAAGGATGAATTGGGTGCAGGTACGCCTGGTGGCAGCCCATTCCTCCTCAAAGGCACAGGGGCACATCAGGAGCCCAGCTGAAGACCCCAGTGTGTCCCCCTCACCAAACCCAACAAGGGAAACACACGCTCATCGATTTATAACTAGCTTATAAAGTGCGGTGCACGTGGAAGGGCTTTACATTACAAACACCAACATTTCCCAGCACTCCTGCCAGCCAGCCAACAGAGGTTTCGTTGTACAACTTTTGCCAAATGTGCCGGGCTTCTGGCGTGTCCCCGTGGCTTTAAGGAGAAATGGGCTGCCTCCGGGCATACCTGCACCCCTATTTGTCCTTTGCTATGTATGCTCCAAGATGGTGACTCTCATAGATTGTCAGACTCGTATTACTGACTGTGACTTCCTGTTCCAGTGACAGCCGCTGCCATCATTTCTTGACCTGCAGTCACAGAGACAAAAAGCGGGGTGAAATCTCCCCCAAGTCTTTCCTGCTTTACAGACATTTCCTCTTACTTCCTGTTTTATCGTTGGAACAGGAAGTGAAAAAAAAAAACCTGACCCTTTCCTACTAGTTTTGGGTATCTGTTGCAGTGGACATTTGTTGCACGCTGTCATTAGTCGCTCCATGTTATTCTATGAATTGTTGTATTTGCAATGGACAGAAGTTCATAGCTATCTAGTAACTTTCCTGTTTTATCCCTGCCCCCTCCCCCTCCTCGTCTGTGTCCGCAGGGTGCCTTGGTCACTGCATGTGCCGACGAGACTCTTCACTTATGGAACCTGAGACAGAAGAGGCCAGCCGTTCTTCATTCCCTTAAATTTAACAAAGAACGGTAAGAAAGAAGACCGCTTCCATTCCTCACCTGTACATCGATACTGTAGAACAGGGGTGCCCACAATTTTTGTGTTAAGATCTACTTATCAAATGACGAGCTACATGAGATCTACCAACGACAAAAAAACTCCCTCGCTCTCTCTCCTGGCTGTCTCCCCTGGCTGTCTTTCCTCTTTCTCCTGGCTGTCTCTCCTCGCTCTCTCTCCACTGGCTGTCTTTGCTCTCTCTCCTGGCTGTCTCTCCTCTCTCTCCTGGCTGTCTCTCCTCGCTCTCTCCCCTGGCTGTCTTTGCTCTCTCTCCTGGCTGTCTCTCCTCGCTGTCTCTCTCCCTCCCCTGGCTGTCTCCCCTGGCTGTCTCTCCTCTCTCCCCTGGCTGCCTTTCCTCTCTCCCCTGGCTGTCTCTCCTCGCTGTCTCTCTCCCTCCCCTGGCTGCCTTTCCTTGCTCTCTCCCCTGGCTGCCTTTCCTCTCTCCCTCTCCTGGCTGTCTCTCCTCGCTCTCTCCCCTGGCTGTCTCTCCTCGCCCTCTCCCCTGGCTGTCTCTCCCCGCTCTCTCTCCTCGCTCTCTCTCCTGGCTGTCTCTCCCCGCTCTCTCCCCTGGCTGTCTCTCCTTGCTCTCTCTCCTGGCTGTCTCTCCCCGCTCTCTCTCCTGGCTCACCTTGCTGTATTTTGCTGTGTAAATTAATATTCTTTGATGTAATACATAGCAGCACTACAACCCCCAGTATCCACCAGAGAGGTGTCAGGGAGCTCGGCTCAGCAGACTCAGGCTAATAGGTAATCATCTGTGCACAGCGAAATAAATATACCAAAATGGAATAAAGGGGCCGCCCTTCCCCCCTTCCTGATCTACCAGCATCAGCTTCGTGAGCTACTGCTAGATCACCTTCTACCTAATGGGCACCCCTGCTGTAGAACAAGGACTGGTCTTAGGAGACACACATCTCAGCTTGGCAATAAACATACATTTGTGTGCAGGGGGAAAAAAAGCAAATAAAGTGCGATGAGAGCCAAAAAACACAATGAGGGGAATTTATCAAAACTGGAGCAGACAAAATCTGGAGCAGCTGTGCACGGCAACCAATCAGCTTCCCTGTCTCATTTTCAAATCTTCACTGACCAATCTGAAGAGAGAGAGATGCTGATTGGTTGCCATGGGCAACTGCTCCAGATTCTGCCTGCTCCAATTTTTATAAATCCCCCCCCCAAGGACTTGGAAATAAGAATACTGCTCATATTGTAGCATTCTGTAAGGCCTCGTTCACACCTGAACGTTTTGTAGCGCGTTCTACGCTCGACGAACGCGCTACAAAACGCTCAAACATCTAAATCCCATTGTAGTCAATGGGTCCGGTTCCCACCTGGGCGTATTTCAGCCCGTCCCTAACGCACTACAAAACGGCCCACGCCTGAAAAGGTCCAGGTACTGCTTTGGGCCGTTTTTGTTGCGCGTTTCCATTGGGATACAGCCAAGTAGCCCTCGGAAACGCGCGACAGACACGTATTGCATATGCGCGTCTGTCGCGCGGTAAAAAAACGTGCGACAGACGCGCATATGCAATACGCCTAGGTGTGAACCAGGCATAAGGACAGGGAATATAAGTCGGGGGAACTGTCAGGTTACAGTTCTTGTCAGATGAGGGACTGATTCCTCATTCGATAAACATATAACAACTTTCTCTTCCGGCTCATGAAGACAACAGCAGATCCCTCGAAGCGGACACAGGTCGCAATGGATGAAGGAAACTCCCATCTTTAGTAGGGGGTGTAGGAGAGTGATGGGGAATGTAGGCTGCCATAAAACTTTTAAAGCCCTTCCCCAGGAAAGCAAAAAAGGACCCTGCATTGTAAGGTTGGGTGCCTAGGGGCTGGAGTAAAGCAGATTTACTTACTTAAACCACATTCCCCCGCTGGTCAATGCTCTCCTCTTCTCCCCCCCCCCTGCTCTGGCTGGTGAAATGTCCCTCAGCATCCTCGACTCTAAAGGTGGCCATACACTTTACAACCATCGCAAGGCCTTAGTCTTGCGATGGTTGTAAAGTAATCAAAAAAACGTACGATCTGCCCATCTGGGACAGGCTGATCGTACTTGCGATGACCGCAATGCTGAACGGGCAGTGTGCGCGTGCGCACACCTGCCCGTTCGGCATTTGTCTCCCGAGCACCTTAGACAAAAGACGTCTCTCCTTAGACAAAAGACGTGCGACCGTACAGTAGAAACGCTCGCACGTCTTCATTCACACTGCACGATTATCGTACGATGGCGGAATTTCCCGCGATTCTCGTACGAGAATCGTGCAGTGTATGGGCACCTTTACGGGTGCCCACACACCTTACGATAATGGCGGGAAATCCCGCGTTCGTACGATTATCGTAAGGTGTATGGAAGCCGTGTGACCCCTCCTACTGTAAGGTCGCACGACTTTTAACTTACGGACATGTTCGAAAACCCGCCGAGCATCGTACGTTGTTCGGCGAGTGTGTAGCATGTTCGTAAGATAAAAGGCGGACGGGCCGGTGTGCGCAAGCGCACACTGCCCGTTCAGCATTGCGGTCATCGGAAGCCCGCCCCTCAGGGGGGCGCGGCTTGCGATCATCGCAAGTACGATCTGCCTGTCCAAGATAGGCAGATCGTACGTTTTATTAAATTACTTTACAACCATTACCTTACATGCGATGGTTGTAAGGTGTGTGCCCAGCATAATGCAGATCTGTGTATAGACCTGTGGTCTATGGATCACTGCCTGGTGATGTGGACAGCTCTTTTTGATTGTTTATTGACGGGGGTCTCCGAAGGTCCTGAAGACCCCAGGGGCATCATGGTGACGTCTCAACAAAAGTGTGCTGGACCCAGAGTGCAACATTTGTGTCCACACAGGTGCTGCAAGTCACGGGGGGAGGGGGGGATCAGGTACGCAGAAAAAAGGTTTTGGAGGTTTTTTTGTAATATTGAAAATGGGTGATAAGGGCGGTGCGGGTTTTATTTTTCTACCAGAAACTGGGCTTTAACCATAGGACCTTATATGTCTGTGAAGGTTCTCAGTTATCCAGGTCATGGTATGGTGCAGGAGTGGGCAACTCCATCCTTCCAGCTGTTGTGAAACTACAAGTCCCATGAGGCATTGCAAGACTGACAGTTACAGGCATGACTCCCAGAGGCACGTTGGGATTTTTAGCTGGAGAGCCGGAGTGGCCCACCCCTGGTAACTTAGTGGCTTAGATAAGCTTCAAAACATCTTCAACATTACAGAACACATCCAGTTGAATGTGAGTAACAACTCCCAATCATAAAATCTTAAAGGAGAACTATGAGGTCAGAGCTTTTCCCCATAGTTCTCCTTAGGGTAACGGGAGGAGACAAACTAGCGTCCTCCCGTGACGCAAAGCTCAGTATATAGCGGGCTACAGCTCGTGGTATACTGAGACTGCCGCAGCCGGGACAGATCCTGACAATGCTGTCCAGATCCACCCAGCTGCGTGATTGACAGCTGGCTCTGCCTATCTAGAGGCAGCTGTACCCGGCTTCTCCCCGTCCATTCGTCCACTCAGCGTGGAGGATCGGAGAGGGGGGAATCCCTGCAGGGAGCCTCGATTGACAGTCACGGCTCTCTGCAAGGAGTATATCGAGAAGTGAGCGAGCGCCGGTATGTGTTCTCTCACTTCCCGATCTATTGAGCCGACCTGTGACAGTCTCATTGTCACAGGTCGGCTCCAACTATGAGGCTGAGTGATTTTCACCCCCCTCATAGTTCTCCTTTAAATAAGGAGTTGAATATAAATCTTGAACAAATAAGCATGCACAATTATATTACGAGTGGTAGATGAACCAAAATGTTTTTAAACTTTGGATAGTATGTAAAGTGTCTGAAGCTCTGTCAGCTTTTGATTGTTATCAATATCCCTATTGGGGCTATTTCCCCCCTCCCCCACCTTCCCTTCACTGATTCCACCAGAGAGAGTAAGTGAGAGGAAACAGGGACACAGACAGCGACAAGAACACTTTTATAATAGACAGGGTCTCTTCATTTATGCCCTGATGAAGAGACCCTGCGTGGTCTCGAAACGTTGGCTCTTGTGATTGTGTGACCTCTATGTCCAATAAATGGACATGTTGGATTATTCTACTGAGTGCTGGTGATTCCTCTTCCTACATTGGGACAGAGTTGGAACCTCTATCAGGAAGCTTGCAGTGTGCAGTGAGCTAAATCAGTCCAGGAGAGGAGCCGGTACAACTGTGCAAGACTGAAGGGAAGGCCGGGGCTCAGGACGAGTATAACACTTCTTGTACATGCTCAAGCATGACTGGTCCTCTTTAATAATACCATGAGACATTAAGCCGTATGACAAGGTAGAATGTACGTTGCCAATAAGCACTTGAATATCCTTGAGACGTCTGGCTTTACGAGCGGCAGGTCTGTAATTTGGCAAGTAAAGTGCCCGGTGTCGGCGGGAGACGGGTTAAGTATTGCAAACTTTCCAGGCAGGGTGTGATTACGGCCACTTTTCCTTCGTCCCCCGAGGTACAGCTGGTAACTGCATTTTACAAAACATGTCAGAGATGAAATGAGAAGAAATCAGAAGTAGAGACTCTCGTCGGGCTCAGGGAACCGCCGTCTAGCTATCAGATTGTCAAGTGTTTTGTTCACTGCAGTAAATGTCAACGTATAATTAGTTCCAGCTTAGCGAAAGCCGGTAAGGCGGCAGAAGTCAGGCCGGTAAAAGCAAATGGAATGTTAGTTCTCTCGGGTTAAGAAATGAGAACATTCCATCGTGGTCCCCTATCTGTTGTCTCATCTCTTGGGGCCCTTACGATGGTAAAAACTCGAGACTAAGACATTAACTGTCTTAGTAGTGTGGGGGGGGGGGGGGGGCGG